GATAGGCTTATCAAGAATTTAATTGAGTTGCGAGATGATGATTTATGTTAAGGAGATAACCCTCAAGCTAAGCTTTATTATCTCACTAAAGTACTTTTAACTCTTTGCTGAATCTGAATTTTATAAATAAATGGTAAAAATTCAAATTGAATTAAAATAAAATAATTTATTTATTTTTTTATGGCTGATCAAATATAAAAGTTCTAAATAAACACTTTTTTTAAGAAATGGTTTAAAAAATACTTAATAGTTTTGTTATTTAGATTTCAATATCCTTTATTAGATCAAGCAGGACATTTCTATATTGATGATTGAAAATAATTTAGCAAGCTTTACTAACGATATTGACCTCAATCACAAATTGACATGCTATTTTTTTATTAAGAAAACGTAAAATTTGTGTAAGAATATTTAAATACAAAATGCTTCATATATATTTTTTATATAATTAAATTGATTATAATTTGTGAAAAATTTTGGTGCATTAAGTCAATTAAGGAATAGGGGTTCTCTTTAAAGGTATAGAATGAAATTATTTAAAAAATAAATTATCAAAATTGAATATGGTTTTGATAAGTAAAAGAAAAATAATAGTTATAAAATTTATATGGATATCCCAAAAGTCATCACAGGCCATAGTGCATTATTGATAAGAAAATTGATTTTAAATACATTATAAAATAATAGTAGATGATATTGAAATAAAGCAACAAATTTTTGAATTGGAAATTTTATACAAATACTTATTATAATAAAGAAGATGAAAGAAAACAAATAAAAATTTTCTAAAAACTAAAAGATAGTTTAATGTTGAATATAATGAGGTGATTTAAAATGTTGCTGAAATAATTTTAAGTTAATAGGGTATAAATATATATAAATATATATAAGTATTATGTGGTGATTCATTAAAAATTTGAGATTCATAAATTAATAATTGGTTTAAAAATTGAAATAATTGTTGTTGAAGACGCAATAATAAAAAATGAATTAGTAAAATATAGATTCTTAAGAAGGGATATAACACTGTAAATGCACAGATAACTAGTGTGTTGAGTAATGTTAATGCAAGACTGGTGGATAATGCAAATGTACTAACTGTAAGTGCAGTGATTGCTAATGCACAGATAAATAATGTGTTGAGTAATGCTAATGCAAGACTGGTGGATAATGTAAGTGTACAAACTGTAAGTGCAGTGATTGCTAATGCACAGATAAATAATGTGTTGAGAAATGCTAATGCAAGACTGGTGGATAATGTAAGTGTACAAACTGTAAGTGCAGTGATTGCTAATGCACAGATAAATAATGTGTGGAGTAATGCTAATGCAAGACTGGTGGATAATGTAAGTGCAGTGATTGCTAATGCACAGATAAATAATGTGTTGAATAATGCTAATGCAAGACTGGTGGATAATGTAAGTGTACAAACTGTAAGTGCAGTGATTGCTAATGCACAGATAAATAATGTGTTGAATAATGCTAATGCAAGACTGGTGGATAATGTAAGTGTACAAACTGTAAGTGCAGTGATTGCTAATGCACAGATAAATAATGTGTGGAGTAATGCTAATGCAAGACTGGTGGATAATGTAAGTGTACTAACTGTAAGTGCAGTGATTGCTAATGCACAGATAAATAATGTGTTGAGAAATGCTAATGCAAGACTGGTGGATAATGTAAGTGTAAAAACTGTAGGTGCAGTAACTGTTAATGCACAGATAAATAATGTGTTGAATAATGCTAATGCAAGACTGGTGGATAATGTAAGTGTACTAACTGTAAGTGCAGTGATTGCTAATGCACAGATAAATAATGTGTTGAATAATGCTAATGCAAGACTGGTGGATAATGTAAGTGTACTAACTGTAAGTGCAGTGATTGCTAATGCACAGATAAATAATGTGTTGAATAATGCTAATGCAAGACTGGTGGATAATGTAAGTGTACTAACTGTAAGTGCAGTGATTGCTAATGCACAGATAAATAATGTGTTGAATAATGCTAATGCAAGACTGGTGGATAATGTAAGTGTACTAACTGTAAGTGCAGTAACTGTTAATGCACAGATAAATAATGTGTTGAATAATGCTAATGCAAGACTGGTGGATAATGTAAGTGTACAAACTGTAAGTGCAGTGATTGCTAATGCACAGATAAATAATGTGTTGAATAATGCTAATGCAAGACTGGTGGATAATGTAAGTGTACTAACTGTAAGTGCAGTGATTGCTAATGCACAGATAAATAATGTGTTGAGAAATGCTAATGCAAGACTGGTGGATAATGTAAGTGTACAAACCTGTAAGTGCAGTGATTGCTAATGCACAGATAAATAATTGTGTGGAGTAATGCTAATGCAAGACTGGTGGATAATGTAAGTGTACTAACTGTAAGTGCAGTGATTGCTAATGCACAGATAAATAATGTGTTGAAAAATGCTAATGGCAAGACTGGTGGAAAAATGTAAGTGTAAAAACTGTAAGTGCAGTAA